TTGTTTTTGTCCTCATTTTTCTTTTCTTTTCTATTTTCCCATTCCCAGGTTGCTAAGGTAAATCAACACTGGCAGCCATAGCTAGAAGCCAAACAAAGTCATAAAGCCTAATGTAATAAAGCCCATATTAGAATAAACAAAGCTGAGATCATCAACTCCACACGCACTCTGCTGATAAAATCTCAGTATATTACATTGTTGACTGTTTATCACATTATGAACTTGAAAATCCGTTTCATCTGGCAGTTGTAAACGTTTCTTACAATCAACAAAACAGGTGAGGATCAAGACTAAAAGCAGCAATAAATTGATCCATATAGGAAGTAACTATCTGTGTATCCAAATTCTAATCTCTATTGCTCTACAAAAGCTTAAAAACAACCTTTGTTTATACAGTCTAGGACAGGGGTTCCCAAAGTGCGAGACCCCGAGTGGGGGTCGCGAGATGATTACAAAATAAAAATGGAAAATTTAAAAAAAAAAAATTATTAAAACAAATTGATTATTTAAAAAAAAAAAAAAAAATTATTATTAATAATAACGTTTGCATAGACATCTTCAGGGGCAGACTAGCCATCTGTATAATTTCCCCGCAACGAGGCTCCCCCTTTGACAATCCACTAGCGCAGTGTTTGTGCGAAAACTGAAATTAATTCACAAACAACCCCCCCCTCGCCAGTCTCTGGCACTGTTATTTTGGGGGTCGCGGGCTGAAAAGTTTGGGAACCCCTTGTCTAGGATAACAACACATTACTTTTGCATTGGGTGACATGTTCCCCCTCTACCAAAAACAAAGCCATTGAAGCTTATTTTATTTCTATTTCCTACTCTCGTTATTACTCATCAAAGCAGCACATTTTTATTAATCTGCAGTTTCTTGAGTCCCCAAAAAGCGTTTTCTTCTTGCTTGAGAAACATTTCCTTAAACTACAATGCCTATTTTTTATTGGAAATGATTAAGCATTAAGAGTTTAAATGTATGTCCTGTTAAACTTTACATAAGAACTAATGGGCTTTTGGAAGCTAGAAGTTATTTGAAAGGACACACTGTGGATTTGTTAATAATAACACGCGTAGAATAACAGCAGCCTAATCCTTTGATAACGCAATAACACCACCCACTAATGTAATAAGACACTGAAGTTGTTTTTACCATTACATAAGAGACACAACCAGCCTTGTGTTTGCAGTATGAAACCTACTCTTTGTGTGAGTATGTGTGTGTGTTTCTGTGTGTGTTGTGTGCCTTTGTCTCTCTCTTTCCTCTCCTTTCTCCCCTGCCAGTGGACTGACTGGGCCTGTTTGTTCAGTATCAGATATCAAACTGATACCAAGCCAAAACAGGGATCTGCCTTATTGTCCTCACAGGAAGATGGTCCATTTTGGATTTATTAATGATTACACATTTGCCTCCTTTGATCCTTCACTAGCGGTCTAAATTGGCCATTCCCAGATAGAAATAGATCAGATCTGTGCCTTTTATCAGAGTTATGAGTGCGCTATCAGCAAGGGAAATGCTAATGTTGACCACTCATGCACAGATTACTGAGACGTGGACATCAATTGATCTGGAAATGCAAAGGTCCAGAGTTGTTGTGGTAATCAACATCACATACACAAGTCAAATACCAAGGAATACTTCATACTTATTATAAAAAAAATAAAAGTGTTTCCACAGCAAGATTTGCATACTTTTACTATAAGCCAATTACTAAGGAATACAAATAAAACGGAAATGAATGAGGAACAGGTACAGACAAGTACAAGTCAAGAATGATAAGAAAATGACCGCATCCTTTTAAGGAGGAAATAGGGAGTAATGACAATTGTTGGGATTAGAAATTAGTTTTATTGTTTACAGTTAGAAAAATGACATTTATATTGTGTTAAATTGTAAAATTACTCCACTTTAGAAATTCCTTGGCTAACAGAATAAATCCTGCTCTGATGAGACTTTTTCCATGGCAACACATAAGAAAAGCCGCTCTAATGAAGACTACTGAAATAAATTGTGGCAGCTGTTGTGAAGATGATGGCAGCAGTGGTGATGATAATGGGGAGGATAATGATAATGATGAGGAGGAGGATGATGATGATCACAGTGCGGCTGGATGTGAGGCCGACGGCAGTGACGGAGCATGATGATAATAACTGAGCAGTGTGATAATGTGGCGTGGAAGGCGGGGAGCTCAACAGAGAGCTAAAGGTTGCTTTGTTTTGTTGTTTTGATCACTGACACACTTCACCTTTTCACACAAAGGTCACGACTTCACCAGGCGAGTGTGTGTGTGTGTGTGTGTGTGTGTGTGTGTGTGTGTGTGTGTGTGTGTGTGTGTGTGTGTGTGTGTGTGTGTGTGTGTGTGTGTGTGCATAACACAGAGCTCTTATGGAGAAGCGGTGTGTGAGTGTGTGTTTCGTACAGTGTTTAACTCAGGTGTTGTGTCTCCTGCCTGAAAGTGTGTGCGTTTAGTGTGTATATACCTNNNNAGTGTGTCGTGTGTGTGTGTGTGTGTGTGTGTGTGTGTGTGTGTGTGTGTGTGTGTGTGTGTGTGTGTGTGTGTGTGTGTGTGTGTGTGTGTGTGTGTGTGTGTGTGTGTGTGTGTGTGTGTGTGTGTGTGTGCATAATGGAGAAGCGGTGTGTGAGTGTGTGTTTCGTACAGTGTTTAACTCAGGTGTTGTGTCTCCTGCCTGAAAGTGTGTGCGTTTAGTGTGTATATACCTTGTTTTCAAAGGGCTTAATTGTCATATGCACAGCTGCAGTGTGAGGTGGGCTGGAGATCAGAAGGTTGTGAGTTCAAATCCCACCTGGAACACCACCACTAGTGTGCCCTTGAGTAAGGCACTTACGGCCTGTCTACACTACAGGCATCAAAAAATCTTGAAGCTGGGCGTGTCTGAAGCTTGGCGATTTTTTGCGAGCAACGTGACCAACAACCAATCACATGAATCTCCCGCCCCCGACATACAAAGCAATAGCAATGTTAAAACGAAGTAAACTGGATATAAACTCTCCAAACAGGCGAAAAACCTACCAGTTTCACCCACTGTCTCTGCCACCTCCCTCCATGCCTGGTTCCTCCGGTTTGTATCCCGGTAAATAGTTCTGGTCGTAGAGAACCGGGTGATTTGCTACCCTAATATCTCGTTTGGAATATGAGGAAATGAACTGCGGTCTGGCTCTCCCAGCTTTGATTGATTGGCTAGCGCTTGCACTGGCGGGATTTGCATAAACGGGATTTGATTGGCTGATGCCAAGCATCGAGCCTCAAAAGTTGAACATTGTTCAACTTTTGATGCCGATAGATGCTCGTGATGCTTGCAAAGCCATGCCATGCTCCCCACAATGCAGTTCGGCGAAGATTAAAAATCTTCTACGTCACCCCATTCAAGTGAATGGGCGAAGCGTTGAAAGCATTTTTCGATGCCTGTAGTGTAGAGAATGTCCCTGTAATTGGTAATTGTAAGTTGCTTTGGATAAAAGCGTCAGCTAAATGAAATGTAATGTTTAATGTTAACTATTATGTATGTAGAATAGAATATGATGAGCATGTGCATGAATCAGAGTATCCAGAGGTTTTACACAGGCCCGTGTGTAAGTGAGTGTGTGTAAGTGTACACATGTGTGTGTATGAACATGTCAGATTCTTTATTGGTTCCCAGTGGGTCGAGCAGAGTTCCTGACCCCATTTCCTGGTGTTGTTGACAGAGAGACATCCAGGCTCAAGGCTCTAGAGAGCAGACACTGCCTGGAGCAGCTTCCTGTCACTGCTCCCTACTACCACTCCATGTGTCATTGTTTCGATTGCTCTTTTCCTCCTTTCAATTTGATTGTTTTTAGCATCCATCAAACTCTGATTCAGTCTTTCTGGACCGTGAGGTCAGGACATGTCTGTTAGAGGATTCTCATACAAGAGAAGGGCTTCGTTTATTTATGTTGTCATGAGAACTGTAGGGTTTTGTTCTTTGCTCTAACATGTATTGAGTATTTGACAATGACCGTCACAGTTGTGAATATACAGTTTACGAGGACAACATTATTATTTACAAATTCCTTATGATTAACGACTTTATAGTGACGTGTATCGTTTTATGTATATTGCATTTAAAATATATTTTCGCCCACTGTATTATCTGTGCATCATGTCCCTATTTTCATATTTTGACCTTTGGCAATGAATCTATATTTGACTTGTGATTATACATTTAAACATCACATTATTTTTAATGTATTATACCTTCACATTAAGCAACAAACATTTTCAGTTTTCCAGCTGAGAAAATGCAGTCAACTTTTTGTAAGTTGAGCTTTTGTGATTTCATTACTTTGAATAAAGTTTTATTTTGCCAGCTCTTTCGATTTAAAACATATATTAAAATGGAAGAAAATGAAAGAAAGATCATTTTTTTTATATAAAACAAGCAGTTGTTTTAGACCTTCTTCATTAAAACCTATTATTTATTTGATGCTGGTCAATTGGCCAAATATCAGCTATAGATAGAATGGGACTGTTTACCTTTTGATTGGGCGAATGTGACACAAGCCTATAGTGAGAAGTCTAAGGTCAATTTTACCATTATACTGTACGTTTAAAGAATACAGTTTCATCCATTAAGCAGAAGAAAATTCCCCCTGGTTGTTTATTCAGTATGGCTCAAGAGTCAAGGAGAGAAACTTTTAAAAGCCAGAGCTCCTGTCTTCACTTCTTAGTTTGATGAGATGTAGACGTAGCAGTAAACCACTTGAGGTTGAGTATTGTTGACAGTGTGCTAGCTCATAGGTGCCAGCAACCACAGATTACATGTTTTATTGCTTGATAATTTGTCAATGAACATCAACCAATCAAATCATTGAATTATGAGTTGTATTACATTTTCCTGTCAGTCGTTTCGTAAGACAAGCTGTGGCTCCATGTGAGTTGCCAAAGTTTTCTCCAAGGTGTGTTAATGTGTTTCCAGACCACATGATGAAGTCTCTTTGTGTATCTTTGTGTGTGTTTCAGGTTGCTGTCGATTGATTCGTCGGACGTTTTTTCAGACAACATGCAGGAGAAGGGGAGCATCACCCAGCCTCCCCCCACCCAGCGCTACAGCTGCTACGACCTGGACGACCTGGATGTCTCCTGGCTGGAGCTGGTCAACAACGAGTTCAGACAGATGGGTGAGTGCAGACTGACTCGCAGCCTCAACTCATAATGAACGCCAGAGAACATTCTGACATTGAAACGAAACAAAAGCCCATCATAACATTTCAAAGAGTTTTCCAAAGGCATTCTTCTTTTATATAATCACTTACCAAAATGTGTCATGAATGGTGTGGTTTTACTTCAGTCTCATGGACTAGTTGTAACACATAAGGGATTGTATCAGAAACACAGATGATTGTTCTCACCTATAAGAATATATTCACATATAGCAGTTCATTTTAATTAAATATTACTAGTTGAATTAAATATAAACGTCCTTCATTTACCATTAAAGTCAATGTTCCCAGAGAAATTGAGGCTGGTTTACAGCTAAATTAGATTTTGCACAATTTGCAAAAGGTTATCATTAATGTTTAGGTTTTTCTCTATTCCAGACTTATTAACACTCACATAACCTTTATTAGATATGTACCAACCCAAATCATAACCTTACATTTGTTTATCTGACATTTCCGATGTAAAAGTCACCTCCAAGTCAACTTTGTTAAACTCTCAAAGGTTCTTAAAAGTTGGTTTCTGTGATGCAGCTGCTTTTCAGTACATCCTTTTTAAAAAACATTTCACTCTTATCATCACCTGCTTCCTACGTCTTATCTGTTCCTCTTCTTCTTCAGTTAATGTCACTTTCTCTCTCCCCTGCTTTCCTACATCCTCCATTTGTCCATGGTGACAACAACTGCTGACCCCGAGCATCTCTTCCATCTCCACCATTTTATTCGATATCTGATCGGCTCCTTTCAGATAAAGCGGAGTAATTGTGTTTATAAATCCCCGCTGGGGTTTCAGGCCTTTATTCCTGGGACATATTCTCCTTAAATCAAACACACACACACTCACACACACATATATACAATGCCTCCTGCCTGAGCAGAAGTGGGTTGTTTCTCATAACCTCCAATGCTAGACCAAACAAACAGAGGATGATTGGTTCTGCTGGGTGAAGCATTATGGGATGATTCAGCATTTTCTATCTCACTCTTTTACTGTATACATATTTGGGAGCGTGTGAATTAAAAATATGAACTTGAAGACTTTGAATCCTGGTTATTTAAACACTTTTAACACTTGCAGAGAACTATGACATAACTGTAGCACAAAACACTGTAAAATGTTCAGTCTGTCAGTAGTTATAGAGAAACACCACTCAGTATTGAGCTTCATGGCCTTATAATGCATTCAATAAAAGGGATAAAGGAACATAATCCATGGACAATATGCAGGATGAATGCATTCGAACATACTGAAAAGTATAGAAAGATATTCAGTCAATGTGCCTGTCTTTTGTCTGTGTGTTTGATACAATGTTGCTTTCAAACAGATAAGTGCAGTCGTGACTAAATACACACAATGATAAATGTCCATGTGCGCACAGCTTTATACGTACGCACATGGAAACAAGATAAATATGAAACAAATACACTATGAGTACACACACTCACAGCGGTGTTGCTTCCCTCCCTCCTGTGTGTGTTCAGTTCATGATGTAAATGTCACAGCAGGTTAATAACAAACTGTACTTCCCTTTCCCAACTATTTAAAATCACACAAGTATTTTTCATTTGAATGAAAGTTTGTGTTGATGGCTAGATTCAAAAGTAATATCATCAGAAAGGTTTATTTTTCATTTCCATAATAACTTGGAAATAGTCTCTTCTTTTTTGTTAAACAGCAGCTCCAATGATACATAACCCTGTTGGCACAGAGATGCTGAATTACCAGGAAAAAATGATTTTACTTTTTTGGTTGTAAAGGGATTGAGTGACATAAATAATAGATACAGACACAGGACGCTCAGCTCCACTTTAAAAAACCTCCCAACTGAGTGCAGAATCCTTCAAATAAATCAATAAATAATCCTCAACTGCAGATTCTACGACAGCAGAAGTGTATTTATTGCTTCTAATAGAATCCAGGCGGTAGGCAACAAGAGGCAAGTCGAAAAACAATTGTAAATACTAAATCTAAAAATTATAACCTAAATTAATTGTTTGGGAAAGTCTCCATTAACGGCATTTAATCAAGATTTTTTTCCCCACTGTTTTGAACTGTTATCCAATAAATCACTTTTATTATTTATTTTTTTCTAAATAAAAGTGGCCTGCTGTTACCAATTTTGTATAATGATTGTAATACCGTTGCATGTAATGAGATAATAGCGTTCCACATCCGTTTTCCACCGTCCAGTTTACTTTACTGGTACGGTACCTACAATACTCTATCTTTTATGAGAATTAAAGAATCGCTGGCTAAATCAGTTTCCATCAACTATTTAGCAGCCTCAGAGCAAGGCATTACTTTGAGATGCAAATGGAGCAGGAATATTAATGCTAATGCCGACACATATTGGCACAGTGAACTGAGCTGTTGGCAAGGAGGCTTCATGACTCATAAGGTTGTTTTTGGCTCTGTTTGTATATGGGCTAGTTGTGACGGAGCACTCTCTGGTTAATATAAGAGTCTACTGAAACTCCACTCACTCCAACATCCTGGGCACATTTTATCCAAAGCTGGCTCCCATAAAACAGTCACTGACCTGTGTGATGAGTACATATGAGGAAATCTGCAAGCATTTACAATTAAAGACGTGTTTTAGCAACAATAACTGAAATGTGGTCACTTGGCTCTCTTAATTTGAGTTACCTGTAAAGCCCCTGTCACACTGTCCCGAAATTGACACCCGATGGATACACGATTAAGGAAAGGTTCAAATTCGGCTCTGATCGTAACAACATCGGGCCATTTGTGAGGGCATCTTAAGCCATCGTATGAGGCTCCGGCAGCAACTTCGTGAGCGGCAACTTCGTAAGGCACTCGTGAGGGCATCTTGTCAAATCGTGAGGGCATCTTGTTATCATCGGTGCCATCGGGCATTCGCCCTCACTCTGATCGGGGCGAATGCCCGATGGCACCGAATGATAACAAGATGCTCTCACGTGGCCTTATGAAGGGCAACATTGAGACACAAATTCAACACAAAAATGAACCTTCGCAAGGTCCTTCCCTTCGGCAATTTTTTGGCATGCCAAAGATTTTGACACCGCTCACGAAGTTGCTGCCGGAGCCTGAGAAACTCCACCGGCGGTCATACGATGGCTTAAGATGCCCTCATGAATGTCCTGATGTTGTTACGATCAGAGCTGAATTTGAACTTTTCCTCTATCAGGTTGTTTTATTGCACAACAAAATCATGTAAACATATTATGTAAATAACCCAATTTGTGTTCTGTGAAACTGAAAAGGATATAATATATTATTTTGAAGGCGAGTTGACAGGAAGGTGTTGTTGCTATGGAAACAACATTGCGGAGAAAACTAAATATCTTCTACATATAAAGACGGATAAAGTAAAGAACAAAGTCTGAAAATATCAGTACAGTATCATAATACTTTAACATAATCGTTGTAGTTACTTTCATTGCAGTTGTATGTCTTAAATGTAATGTAAATGTTGCATTCGTGTGTGGTTCGGGGCCATCTTCGTGCGAAATTCACAATTCCATATTCGTGTGTCCATCGGGTGTCAATTTCGGGACAGTGTGACAGGGGCTTAAGTAGCTTCCTATTTTTGTTATCCTTGTCGATAACAAAAGCTCAAAAATACTTCAGAGTTTTGACCCTGTAACTGAGCACTTTTAATTGTTCTGTAAAGGCTCTGAGTATTTTCCCCATAACTGATCTCTCTCATTAGAGGTCATATATCAACCTCATATCAACCAATCAAATACACAACTCCTTTTACTGATACTCCACCCCAGTTTTTCTAATTGAGTTTGAGAGGATGAACAACAATAAATCACGTTTTACTTTCTGTCCCCAGCATTACCAGAGCTGGACGAGCTGACAATGGAGTGTGTCCTGGTGGAGCTGGAGAGCATCTGCGAGGAGAAGATGCGGCAGGCCATCGAGGCGGAGGAAGGCCTGGGCATCGAGTATGACGAGGACGTGGTGTGTGACGTCTGCCGCTCGCCAGAGGGAGAGGACGGCAACGAGATGGTGTTCTGTGACAAGTGCAACGTCTGCGTCCATCAGGTCAGAAACTAAGCAGCTTATCAATCCAATTCAAATAGCTTCATTCGCATGACCATAATGAAATACAGTATTGACAAATCTTTCTACAATTGTGACATCTATACATTAATAAACATTTGACATTTTTGAACAAATGCAAGAATAACAGGTTTTTCTTTGCAACAAAAACACTATACTTTTTGAACATGGACTAGAACAATTAATAAAACCTTTATACAATGACGACATCCATACATAAATATACATTTGAAATGTACTGAAAAATGTATAACATTCATAACAAATGCAAGAATAACATGTTTTATTTAAAAGGAAAATATACTTTTTGAAGTACAGAAGAAGGTAATCACTCTTGGGGGAATAAACAGGTAGAAGCTGAAGGGGAAAAACGTGAAGTACAAAATCAAGGTTGTTCAAAGAGAAGGTTTTGCTGTTTTCCTCAGAGAGATGCCCTCCCATATTTTACTCATATTTTTCTCCCTCTGACTTAATTTATCATCTGCTTGAAAGTACATGTTGCAATTTCAGAACTGCTACCTGTGACACCCTGAGGCTGCTGCTGTGTTTGTTACACTGACACAGTGTTAATTATTCTGTCGGCCCCGTTGACACTAACACACCTTCAGTGTGTCATCAGACTGCCTCTGCCTCCCTGCTGTCCAACTGCAGACCAAATATATGATGTTATTCTGTCACAGAGAAATGTTCTCACAATGTGGAAAAAAACCTGTATGTGGAATAGAAGTAAATTATTTAGAAAAAGAGGGAAAACAGGATAACTGTAATCCCATATAGTAATAATTATTTATTTCATCCATTCATTAGAATGACATCATGCTTTGTTGTTGCTCTTTGAGTAGTCCATCAATTCCTGAATTTAATTAGCAAAAAGATCAGTAACATTTTTATATTGTGTATATATACAGTATATTGGAAGCAGTGCACTGTTCTATAGTGCCTCTCCACAGAGCAGTTTGTGTTAAGTAGAAGAAGAAGTAACTGGCAAACATTTAGGTGTGATGGAAACAACATTTAGAGCAGATAAAGAAGTAGTTGCCCCCCGAGAGTAGTCAGGAATATTATCGCTTTTATAGAGCAAACACATTCAGCAATGCTTCTTTAGTCAGGCTTTCTTTTTAACCTTCAGCCGGTAACAAACAGGGCTTGGTTAAAAGAGTAATTTAAAGGTTTGATCAAAAAAACCTTAGATCAATCGAGTCCTTTTACTGCTTTTGATGAAGATGGAGTCTTTAAAGTCTTGTTTTCTCTCCTAGTGTTAGTGCGAAGAACCTTTTTTTTTATCATATTATCTTCTAATAACTGAGGATGAATTTTACTTTTCAGTATTAAAACATGTGATGGCCTTCTTCTGTGGAGTATGGTGACAGATTACAATTCTGAGATCAGGCTTTTCCTGCAGCACTTAGTTCTGAAGTGTGTTGATGCTTCAGGATGTTTAGCCATGAAAATTAATTTGGGAGCTAAAAGTTTGATTTGAGTCCTTAGAAATAAGATTTGATAGATCTGACACAGAGGTTGTAATAATGGATCAAAAAGAAGTGTTGAACACGATTCACTTCTCCGAGAAAAGGCACTTGGATACAGTAAATTATACCTCACAAAAAATGATTCTCTCTTCCTGACCCTGGGCTTTGGATCTTATCAAATATAATTCGGTTTGCTGATATGTTGGCGTCAAAACCTTAATGGCACCCTATTGTTTGGGCGGAAGGGCAAATGGGTGGAGCGCTGATGATACAATGACCTGCTGTGATTTTAAAACAACAACAAGTGGCATTTTGAAAATGTCCTGCGAAAATGTTGAGAGAAAAGTTTGGGCAGCTAGAGAGGTCATGTGTTTTTTGAGTGTGTGTGTTAATGGAGAAGCATTGAGCATTAGCTTTAAGGAGCTGTATGTTGAGGCAAAAGGAGAAAGAAGACTTGGTTTTCCATGTGAGAATTTGCGGATTTGATATGATAAAAGAAAGAAGCAGCGGCATACTGTAATTGCTTTTTAAGATGCAGCAACCACAGTTTCCAAAATATAAAAAGTATTCTGACATGAACACTAGACGCTGGGGTGGCCTTGTGGTGTAGCTGGTTAAAATCACATCTGGGTGCAAATGCAGCCTGTTTTAAATGATCTCTCTCCAGTCTGGCTCCTGAAGTAGCAAAAAATGGTGAAAGCCATATTTATTTTGAACAGATTAGCTAGAAGTGATAAATTTGACTTTTTTTCGTGCGGCTTCTTAGCCTCCAAAAACACATTATGCATAAACTCTGAGTCTCCTGATAGTATGGCCTTTAAAAGCATGGCTCAAGCTGCACATTGAATCTCAAAGGCTGGAGCTACATTGCTTTCAATTTATGAAAACAAACTTTTAAACAAGAAAGCAATAGAGAAACAGTAATGAAGGTGATCACAGTTAAAGTGACTGTAATAGCTGCACATATTTTCATGCATTGACCGCAAGGTACGAACACTTCACCTGGCTCTGTCCAAAGTTAACACAATCTGCTCACTAGCACATTTAAAGAGCAACAATTATAATGTTGTATTTTTTTTGTTAATAAGTATCATTTTGAACAGATTAGATTTTGTTACAGACGGAGCCTGGCTTTCCCCAAGTATCAACCTATTTCCCAAGGAAGATACATTTAGAAAACTATAAAACTTCTCTAAAATCTTCTCAATATTTGTTGTTCTTCTCTAACTCTTTCTCTTTCCTCTCTCCGTGTCCCAGGCGTGTTATGGCATCCTGAAGGTGCCCCAGGGGAACTGGTTGTGTCGGACCTGCGCTCTGGGCGTTCAGCCCAAATGTCTGCTCTGCCCCAAGAGGGGGGGGGCCCTCAAGCCCACCCGCAGTGGAACCAAGTGGGTCCACGTCAGCTGTGCCTTATGGATCCCTGAGGTGAGACCGGAGCAGAGGCAGGGGGGTCAAAAAGATCCAGATAGAGTACGGTGTTCGTAGCTGTTCCACTTTCCATTTGCCTGAGTGCTTAAGGTAGCTGTTTCTACTTGTTATGTTTAACTGGTGTAGGACTTCTTGAATCAAAGATAGACCTGCAGGTGTTTTGTGTTTATGATCTCAATCACTCAACCCACTCAGGAGACTAAAGCTCTCCCCTTCGTGACTTCACTTTTACCTGTCAAGGTTGATATTGAATACTTTAAAAAAAATAGTATTCTAAAAAAACATAGATTTTAAATTGAGAAGACAGGATTCCTTGTGTCCTTGGGTGTTATGAAAGTCGACCATGAATAATAAATAAAATGCGTTCTTTTTAATATTATTATTTTTATTTATGCTAGATTTAGTTAATTAATAGCTTCTATGTACAGTTCCTGGGCAGGTACACACAGATCAGTCATCACCATTCCACAGTCTCTTTCGCATGAAATACAACCGCATTCATCTAGTACAAATATAAAATGTAAGTTTATTACAATAAAAAAATAAAAAACCTGAAACACGGTTGACAGGACTGGGTAATCAATGTCAACTTTATGTCCAAAGTGACTGTAGAGTAAATGTCTTTCCTAAATCTTTCCTTTGTTAGCTCAGTGGAATCAGCAACTACCTGAACATGAAGAGGTCGACTACTGTGTGTGTGGGTGTTACAAATAGTGCGTCAAAATAAGCGACTACACGTTTAAAGATGGTGAATCACAACCACCTGCAAGACTGTGCGGTGTTTGACGATGGGGACCCACACAGTGCTTATTTTTACTTCTAAACTTGTTTAAACTCAACTTTGGCTTTTTCTCTTCCTCACCCTCATCCCTTTCGGAGGATGCTCAGCTTTTATTGCACAATCTTTCAGGGACAGTTTTCTTCTCCACCATTTGCATCAACAGAAAGATTCTGTAACCTCCCACTCATCTTCCTAGAAGTCTACACACCTTACATATTTCTTCAATCTTTATACTAAGGAAAGAAAATCTCTCGGACGTTATGTATGCTTTAAGCATAAGTACAAACAGTTTGGTTGCTCTTTTATGTAATGGAATTATGAAATGTTCCTTAAGATGTTAGTAGGAACATGAAGGGTGAAATAGCCGGCACAAATGTTTTAATATGAACCAGTAAGTCATGGGTTATTATATTCGTCTAAAAAATGTTTCATAAGATAATTGATTTCCCAAGCTTGTGACACTAATTTAACATTTATCCAGTAGAAAAGGTGTCTGATCATTTGACAACAAATGACCTTGATTTTGGTTGTGTGCACGTTAAATGGAAGTGAATTGCAACAATAGATGAAACCTGGATTTTGAGGAATGGATCCACCTTTCTCTTTTTCTCACCTGGGTTTTTGTGTTTACAGTAAATGCTTTGAATACTTCATGAAGCTTCTTCAGTCTAAACATCAATCCCGCAATCAGTCTGTAGATCAATGTAGATTGATTTATGAGGAATCTGTTTGTCAAGCATGTAGCCAAGCAGCACCTGATGTGTCTTGATGACACCTTTTGGATACGTCTCATCTGAGAGCTCCGAAGATGCAGCTAATTTCAGCGAATGTGCTTCATGCCTTGCGCACACCTTTAAACTGTTACGACAGTCAGTCATGTGTCTTCAGCCTATTCATCAACACACTCCAGCAGCAGATTCCTCAGTAATAGAGTGACTTTTGGCAGCACAAACCTTCTACTTTAATTGCCTTCTGTCACCCTTGATTGGGCTAATTGTTTTCGTTGCTCCGTTCGCTTTTGTTTTCTCTTCCTACTGTGGAGGGAGGAAAAAAGGATAATTTGCATTTCTGTGCTGTACGCACATTTGTGCATACACGTTTGTGTGTGCTCGCAGGAGCTAAAGAGGCGTTACTAGTAGACATCCACGCAAATAAACACACGCATGCACAAACACAACACACACATCGCACTTGTGGTTTGTAGTTTTTACTGAATATGATGGGAGTGGAAATTTCCAGTTAAACGCTGTGTGTGTCAAAGCTGGATTGGATACATGTTTATGTGTGAAGATGTGTGTGTGCCTCCAAACATTATAGCCCCCCTGCGGTGCTGTGTGTATGTCTTCTGGCCTCTGCCTTCAACCCCTAGAGAGAGGACCCTCTTCAAACGGCTCTGCACCACACACACACACACACACACACACACACACACACACACACACACACACACACACACACACACACACACACACACACACACACACACACACACACACACACACAGATTCCACCAAAACTCTCTCATAAAAGGCCTTTTTTCAACACTGTAAATGTCCCCCTTTTCCACTGAAGTGATTTCAAATTTTCAATCTACTGGCTTTGAAATGTGAAGTAATTGAGGCTAAAATATGGTCATTGGGGATTGAGCATGTTAAAGGGATGAATTATACACAAACACGGACCACTACAACCTTGACTTTTTGAGTATTGACCAACACAAGAGGAAAAAAGACGGAGGAATGGTGTCTGTCTGTGTGCGTGTGTGGGCACAAACATTTAATCAATCAACCACAGCTTTCAAAAAGTGGAAATCCTTTAGCCAGTGATCGCTTCACACATCAGCTGTATAAAAGAGACGAACATTGAAGGTGTCAGCTGCGGCATCATTGTCTGAATTGCACTTTATATTGACAACCTCAATGGAGTGAAAATTGACCCTTACTCAGATCGAGTGTGCTGCACAAAAGACATCAATAATAACAGAAAGGCCTTGTGCTTGTTCTGTGGATGAGCAGACGAGAGGAGGGAAATAAAATCAAATATAAGAACAAGTGGACGAGGAAAGGGACGGACATGAACCACGGAAATCCGTCGTCAGCTTGCTAATGCGAGCGTGAAGGACAAGGAAAGTGGGCAATGCCACAAATATGGGATTAAGTGGATGTGAAAGTGGTGGAATGGTTTGTGGAAAGAAATAGGCAGCGGAGGAAGGAAGGAAGAAATGGCACTTGGGTTTTGAGTGCTCTCCACTCTTTCCTGCATGGCGGGTTGGCACAGGTCAATGACTTTTTGGTTGTTTTTGGTGGAGAAGCGTTTGGGGCCAATGCTTCTCTGAATAGGCCGCTCAGAGAGAGTTAGTCTCACTGGGCTTTGCCATCTTTACAATTTCTCCGGGGAGTGCAGGTGTCCAGGCTCCGGGTCCAAGAAAAGACCTTCCAAATTGAGATTTTGAAATTGGGAGACACTGACAAAATTATTATTCAAGCTTCAATTAGTTGGGTATTATCAATCAGTAAAGACCAACGTTAAATGTAGGTTTTGTGCTGAATAAAAAATGGGTGAAGCATAATCTCCAGCTGGTTAGTCATTATGATATTTTGATATGTTAACAAATTATTATTAATGAATTAAGTGCTATGAGGCATGACAAATACCATCTTGAATTGTATTTATTGATATTTTGGGCTACAAAATGGTGAAATACCTCAGATGTTTCTCATAAACCTAGTAATATGTCTCCAAATGGTTATTTTTCCCACAAACTGATCCAAATCTAAAGATATTAATTTAAAGTGGACCTATCATGCTATATTTGAAACATATATTGTAGGGCCATACCTACACTGAACAAAAATATAAACGCAACACTTTGGTTTTTGCTCCCATTTTTCATGAGATGAACTCAAAGATCTAAAACATTTTCTACATACACATAATAACCATTTTTCTAAAATATTTTTCACAAATCTGAAAAAATCTGTGATAGTGAGCACTTCTCCTTTGCCGAGATAATCCATCCCACCTCACAGGTGTGGCATATCAAGATGCTGATTAGACAGCATGATTATTGCACAGGTGTGCCTTAGGCTGGCCACAATAAAAGGCCACTCTGAAACGTGCAGTTTTGCTTTATTGGGGGGTCTGGGGGGTCCGAAAACCCTAGGGTTAAACCCTAACCCTAACATGTCACCCATTGAGCATGTTTGGGATGATCTGGGTCGGCGTATACGACAGCGTGTTCCAGTTCCTGCCAATATCCAGCAACTTCGCACAGCCATTGAAGAGGAGTG